AGCCAATACCATTTTGGGATCGGTATGTATGTCGATGCAATTTGTATAATGATTTTGGTCACTTCTTGTAGGTCTTCCACCGGCTAGCTCAACTGATGATGATACTAATCAACCATCACTCAAGGACAAGTCGTTGAAGCAAAGAAAGGAGCCGTCTAGAATAAGGAAAAGAAGGAAGGGGTTTGGCGAAAGGTACGCAGAGAAGTCGAGGAAACATCTAATCAATGAGATGAACAAAGCTGGTTAGCAGAAGTTGTGTCTAGTATGATTGAGTCATTATTTATATTTGACAGTTCAGTTGCATATATTGGACACAATTGAGTACTTATTTGGTAATGGTTTTTGGTTTAATTATGTTTGATTGTAATGGTCTTGGACGAACAGGTTTTGTAATTGTGTCTTGTTTATTTGACGGTAATTGGTTGATTCTTATTAGTATTTACTTTAATGTCATCTAAGATGGTACTGGTACCTCTACTTGCTTATTTTGAGAGTGCAGTGTGTTTATAAACACCAGCTTCACGTGTGTGCATAAAACTACCACTGCATGAAAGGAAACTTCCATTCCACATTTAAAAAGCACGGGTTTAGAGACAGGTGGGAACTACCATTCACATGTGTGCAGAAAACTACCATTGCATGGAAGGAAACTACCATTCAGAATAACAAAAAACTACCATTCCACATCAAGTTATAAAGACAAAATTCCTGATTATGTTTGTAGTGGCAAAGTTATAAATACAAAATTCTGTCCACGAGGAATAATTACCATTCGAGCATAACACTACCATTCCATATTAAAAAAAGCACGGGTTTAGAGACAGGTGGAAACTACCATTCACATGTGTGCAGAAAACTACCATTGCATGGAAGGAAACTACCATTTAGGAGAACCAAAAACTACCATCCCAACAGAACACTACCATTCCACATCAAGTTATAAAAACAAAATTCCTGATTATGTAAGTAGTGGCAAAGTTATAAAAAAATATTCTGTCCACGAGGAAGTAATATCTAAATCAAAAACTCAAGCATGAGGTGACGACGGTTCATGTTGAGTGTAGCCTCGGGCCAAACCTTCATGATTATCAACAGCATGCTCAGTCAGCTGATCTAACAATATGTTGCTGTCATCCTCGATTATGCTTTTCACCAACTTGACAATCCTAGAGCTGAAGTAGGAAGCCCCCTGCCATTCATTCTTCCATTCGGATACCAGCCTCCCATTCCATAGTTCACACACGTTTAGGCACACAACTCCACCTGTTTTATCTTCGGCCTGTACCCATACAGGAACATTGCGCCATAGAAAAGAGTCGAAGGAGTAATCCAACTTCAACTTTGCACGAATATATACAGTGGCATACTTCACGACCAGCCTACCAATGAGCTTGTGGTGCTCCGTAAATTTCCCGCCACGTGGGTTGAAGAACTCAAACTTCTTGTCACGTAAATTGACACAATATAGAACATAATTTGAGTCATACTCATACGGGAAAAACCACTGCAAGAAATCGGAAATAAATTTTTATAGAGTTAGAAACGACACATGACTAGTGTAATTGCATGCGGGCGTAAAAGTATGGGATCTCAGTCACTTACAAACTTGCAGTCAGCGAATGACAGATTATTAACAAATGCGCACTCCTCAATTAGATGATATGTCTCGCCCAAATAATCACTTTGGGTGCTCTCCGCCGTTGAGTCCTCAAACTGAAGTACTCTACCTTCTAGATACTGAAACAATGACAAAGGGTCGGATGTCTACCATTGCTGTGAAACGACGAGTACTAAAAATAAACTGTGAGTTAGAACTTACTGCAAACCATGTCGGGAAGATCCACCGGGTCAAGTTTCCAGACTGACAAATCTTTTGATTCAAGATTTGGACATAGCAATCAACGAATTGCCTAGTAATGACATGCATACATGCTAACTGAGTATCTTTCAGCTGCAAAATCACGAGTCTTTCTTTGTGTGTCCGCAAAACCTCTTCTGGATCCCTAAAATTAATGTGAAAACATTTCCAATGTTGTAATATAAAACGATAATAAAATTTTCCAGTATTGATGTAAAATTCTGAAAGTTAAATTAATCATACCATCCATCCCCATCTACCCATGCATACTCCACGCGCAACCAGCTGAGGACATCATCAGGCAGATGCTCACTCGCTGAAGGAGGATTCGGGGGAACAGTGACAATACCATCTGCAGGTATTGGGTTTTTTTTTTGTCTTCCTTCAGATCAGTAAGTCTACAATAAGGTGATATTAATGCCTTACCCTTGTTTCGTTTCTTACGGAGATTATAAGTCTGCAGCATTGGGGGCCTTGTCTGGAAATCATCGTCTGAATTCATTTCTAGGTCAGCTTGTATGGAAGCAAGGGTGCTTGAGATAATCTTCCCGCTTGGATCGCTGGTCCCTAGTACACCTATGACAGATCCAGTGTTGTACAAAACAATCTCTTTCACATGAAGATCTACTGGATTGGCTGAAATTCCAATACCTATGGCGACTATGTTATCAGAGGTGGCTCTAGTATAGCTTAATAAAACTAATAAATTTGTAACCCCAAAGCGGGACAAATACAAACATAAAAGCACAGAAGATACAAAAATAAAGGATCACCACTACAAAAAGAACACAAAATAGAAATGGAAGAGTTTAACAGGAGATAGCATAGTAGTTTACATGCCGAATGTAGAGGTTTAGTTACAGGCCGCTAATAGTCACAAGAGATACAATGTTCAAAAAGTAAGATAATTGTCCGATTGGAAGTTAAGGCAAAAGTACACCCAAGTACACCCAAATGTTGCGCACAAAATTTATGCGTCATTACCTTCAGAAGCAGCCCCCTTTGCTGGGTTGGGGGTTGTAAAAGCTGAACCACCACTGTCACCTGCATGAATGTGAAAAATGAGCAAGTTTCCTGTCCGAAAATGGGAACTACAAATGTAAATGAAATAATACTACCAATGCATAGTTGAAAAACTACCAAAGCAAATGCAAACACTACCAGTGCATGCTCCAAACTCTACCAAAGCGTAATACAAACACTACCAAAGCAAAATCAATTTTTCTACCAAAACAAATACACTACAATGTAAACACTGCAATTACGGTTTAAGTGCATAACCGAGATATAAAAATGAGAATGAAAAACATATGCCATAATACGCAAACAACACGAACATATAGGAACAGATTATTACCTGGAGTTATTTCAGCGCCAGTATCCTTGTTCATCCTTGCATCCGCTGTGTCATCCTTGTTAACGGTAGCAGCCCCCTTTGCTGGGTTGGGGGTTGTAAAAGCTGAACCACCACTATCGACTGCATGAATGTGAAAAAATGAGCATAAGTAAAGTTTCCTGTCCGAAAATGGGAACTACAAATGTAAATGAAATAATACTACCAATGCATAGTTGAAAAACTACCAAAGCAAATGCAAACACTACCAGTGCATGCTACAAACTCTACCAAAGCGTATTACAAACACTACCAAAGCGAAAGCAAATTTTCTACCAAAACAAATACACTACAATGTAAACACTGCCATTACAGTTTAAGTGCAGAACCAAGATATGAAAATGAGAATGAAAAACATATGCCATAATACGCAAATAACACGAACATATAGGAACACAATATTACCTGGAGTTATTTCAGCACCAGTATCCTTGTTCATCCTTGCATCTGCTGTGTCATCCTTCATAACGGTAGCATCCTTGTTCGCAGGGCCTTGACCATCGCCTACAGTTCTTGGTTCAACAACATGGTCTTCTCCTTCTAACCAAAACAACAATGAAAGAGGCCGTGCCAATGATAGTTAACAATATGTTCAAATGAATATCGAAAACAATTGTTAAAACTTTGTTGTAACTGACCTTCTTCATCCTCAGACGACCCATCCTGACTTCCTTCCCCCTCAGACGACCCATCTTGAGTTCCTTCTTCCTCAGACGATGCATCTTCAGCTTCTTCATCGTTCATCTGTCCAGAATCAGCATCATCGCCCATCTGTCCAGAATCGGCATTATTAGCATCTGAATCAGATGCATCAGTAGCAATTAATCCTTCCTCTTGATAGCCACCGTCTTCCTCATTTGTTTCGTTGACTACAACATCATCAAGTGGTGCAGCCTTCAGCTCTGCTAACCGCCTGTCACAGTGTCCAATCTTTAGTTTGATGTAGCCCAACATATCCTCCAGACATTTACGAGTTGCCAACAACTAGAAGCATGGACAGTAAATAGTATTAGTTTTATCTTCTTTGCAAAGAGTGAATGATTGACTAAAGAAATACATAGTAACAACAAATAACTCAATTACCTCAACAATACCCATATCCCCAATCGATGGGTCACTTATAGACGATGCAGGAATGAATGTAGGGGCTGTATATGAAGTTCTAGCTTCACTGACTTTGGCCTTCTTTTTCCTAGCTTCCATCAACCTCACAATAGAGTCCGAGGGATTCCTCTTCCTGGGCTCAGTGCCGATGTGGATGTATGGCACACGATCTAAAGCCATATGCTTTTCCAACATTCCAACTCTCCTCTGGTACACCTCAGTATGGTCATAATGCTTGCACGATGGCAGGTCGGTGGTGATGTTGAGGGTTTCAGATGTCCGGTCCAGGAACCAACATGTCAGGAGGTGCAGATCCCCATTGGCATAGGACGCTATCTTGCTGCCCATACGACACTTCTTCAGCTTCTTCCAAACATATGTACACCAGTCATACTCAGAGAAGATGCTGAAACTGTTGTCTTGAAGGAATTCCAACACTGATATTGGACCAATTGCCGAACTTGTAGGTTCCAACACATATCCAAACACCAACATTACAAACATTCGGATCCAGATCACGTCCTCAGTCACGTTGGGTAACTTTTTTGCCAAGGACCAAAGCTTGTTCCAATGCTTCTCTTTTGAATCAATCTGCAACATCTGTCCTGGCAGTGTCTTGCACTTGTTAATGTTGACATTGGGTACCTACTTTTGACCACGAGGAAGGCCATAAACCCGTTGCACATCATCAACTGTGAGGACTAGGTGACGTCCATCAGCCATCTGAATCGACATGCTGTCCCCATTGAAATGGTCAATCAACCAGATAAGCAGCTCGCTGTCAAACCTTTTCATCTTCAAATGGAAAACAAAATCCAATCCGAGCTTCTTTATTAGTTCTATCCTTGCATTTGTTATACCATTCTCGACAATTGATATAATCGATGCGGGGCTGCACTTCTTCCCAGGTGGTTTAGATTTACCCATATCCTTCTGCGGCACAGCTTCATCAATAGAGTCCGAGGTTTGCCCACTTCCAACTTGAACCTGACGACTGCTGTAGGTAACTGGTTCCTTGTGTTTTGAGCCCCTACGACTGGGGTTCTTAGTTCTTGCCATTCCTAAAATTGGAAAAATGGGAGGTAAGTCGTTTAACATTAATCAAGCATCACAACCGTTGCATGGGAAAAAACTATCAATCCAAATGAAGACTACCAATCCACATCAAACTACCAGATTCACATGTATGGAGAAAACTACCAATGCATGAAAGGAAACCACCATTCAAAAAAACTAAAAAACTACCATTCGAACAGAACAGTGCCAATCCACATCAAAAAGCACGGGTTCACATGTATGTAGAAAACTACCAATGCATGAATGAAAACAGTAAAGAACTACCAATCCAAATGCAGACTACCAATCCAACATGACACAACAATTCAAAACAGTAATAAAACTACCAATCCAAATGAAGACTACCAATCCACATCAAACTACCAGATTCACATGTATGGAGAACAGAACAGTACCAATCCACATAAAAAAAGAACGGTTTCACATGTATGCAGAAAACTACCAATGCATGAAAGAAAACAGCACAAAAGAATACCATTCCAACATAACACTACATTTCAAAACAGCAAAAAAACTACCATTCCAAACATAACACTACCATTCCACATCAAAAAGCACGGTTTCACATACAGGTGGAAACTACCATTCGACAACCTGAAAGCTACCATTCTAACAGGAAAAACTACCATTCGACAACCTGAAAGCTACCATTCCAACATAACACTACAATTCAAAACAGCAAAAAAACTACCATTCCAAACATAACACTACCATTCATAGATTGACAAGTATATATATCACTACCAATGCACTAGAACCTACCAATCCGAACAACCAAAAACTAAATCACTACCAAAAACTAAATCACTACCAAAAACAATACAAAAACAAGAAGAATACCAAAGCAAACAAAACCAAATCCACGATACGGTTTAAAATTGAAGATTAGAGTTCTGGCGGGAGACGAACCTCAGATCAGTAGCTCACAGCCGACAACGGGAATGGATGCTGGAAGAGCTAAGATGAATGTCGCCGCCGGTGAGACGCCGAAAACGCTCGTTTACCCACCAAAAAATAAAGAACCAGCCGCCGACAACCCTCGCTAGAAAGGAACGACGGCGGCGACGGTCCAGAAAACCCTTCCTTCTCTGTTTGCGCGAGGGAGGGATGGTAAAGACGGAAGATACCACGGCGCCGAAGAGAGACCATGCCGGAGAGAGAATGCGGCAGCGGCGGACAACGCCGGAGAGAAATCCGTCTTTACCAGGGGAGGGCGGCGGCGGACAATGCGGCGGCGCCGAAGAGAAATCGCGGACAGAGAAGCTTCTGCTCTCTGCAAAAGGGAAAAGGGAAAAGGGAAAAGGGTTTTGGGTTTGGGAGCTGCGTTGAGAAGGAAAGAAACAATAAATAAGGGAAGCGTGGGGCAAGGCTTTGATTTCGGGCCCAGTAATGATTATGTGGTCCCTTCCGTAAACACCCTTCACAAAATGGGCCCTCATATTGAATTTCTCTAATCTGTATGGCCAAAAAGGAGGTAGCCATGGTGGCTACTTAAAAAAAAGGAACCAGGCTAACACATTCCCGCCCGAGACTAAGGTGGCACCACTGGCTTATTGCTGGCCACCCACCTTATAAAAACCCAGCCAATTTCGTTTCAGATTCACACCACAAAAAAAAAATCGTCCAAAATAGAGGAGAGAGCTCTAGTTGCTGCTGCAAAAAATGGCTAATAGGTAAGAGACACATTTATTTTTGTAATTATATTATTTAAATGCTATTATGATTGTGTTTAGTTTTAATTAGCGAGTTTGTTTTTTTGTAGTGATTTTAGAAGATTTGAACTAGTCGTTCGGTGGAAATCGGAGAAAGTAGAGGATAGTTTGGGCGTCAAATTCGTTGGTGGTAGTAGTTTTCAGTTGACGGTTCCATCCAGGGTCACATATCACAAACTTTGTGAGAATCTAATTCCGAGAATACAGTGTAGAGACGAAGCAGTACAAGATAGTGATGTGATCACAGGTTTCACTTACCATCTTCCAGAATGGCAGAATGGTGTTTTATTTCATTATGCGATACCTATTGTTGATGATGATAGCTTGAATGTGCTTTGGAATTTTATGGCACAAAATCCTTATTGTTTGGGTGCTGAGATACATGTTGAGCTCAGTGAGGATCAGAGTGGAGAGGAAGAAGATGATACATGGAGCGTGCCATCCGATCATGACTATGATGATGGTGATGACGGAGAGGAGGAAGATGAGGAGGAGGAGGAGGAGGAGGAGGAGGGGGAAGGAGAGCAGCCTAATTATCCTCCATATTTTTACTTGCAGGGTAATGAAGAGGACGAAGAATTATCACTTGTTGATTCATATGGCGTAATTCCAATGCCTATTGTTGATAGTTTTGAAGAAGAATTCTACAAGGGGCAGATATTTCACTCGAAACAAGCTGCACAGATGGCGATTAAACACCACGCACTACAACGCAACTTTCAATATGGCGTGGTGGATTCGTCACCTTCAATCTGGAAGGTCAGATGCTTGAGGCACAAGGATGACAATTGTCCTTGGATTGTGCGGTTTGGATGTCGAGATGTTGGAGGCGAATGGACTGTGAGAAAGGCTGAGTTGGTGCATTCTTGTAGCAGTACGACTCAACCGACGGATCATCGCCATCTTGATGTCGACATGATATCTGAGGCCGTCAAACATTTGGTATTTGCCCAACCAAATCTGAGTGTTCTAACTGTTCAGGTCGAGTTGAAAGATAAGTTTAATATGCAAGTTACTTACAAGAAGGCTTGGTATGGGAAACAAAGAGCATTGGAGAAGTTGCATGGAAATTGGGAAGAATCCTACGATTTTTTGCAAACATTCTTGCGGGTGGTCAAGAGAAAAATGCCAACATCGGTGATTGATTGGGTAAGAGTTCCTTCGACTCAACCAGGTCATTCAATATTTCAGCGAGTATTCTGGGCTTATGGACCTTGTATAGATGGATTCAAGAATTGTCCAGACGTCATGGTTGTTGATGGAACATTTCTTACTGGGACGTATAAAGGAGTGCTACTCATGGCGAGCTCATTTGATGGCCGGAAGAAGATTTTTCCAATTGCTTTTGCCATAGTGGGAGCGAGAATACTGAGAGTTGGCCATGGTTCATGAGGAACGTTCAGGGTTTGACTGATCGAAATGATGTATGTATCATCTCAGATAGACATGCAGGACTCTATGAAACCATGAATAACATCGAAAGAGGTTAGGAGTGGAGGTGGTGCATGCGACACTATGCAAGCAATTTGCAAAGGAAGACTAAAAGCAGAATTATGTATAAGCAACTATTTCGAGTCGGTAAGCTTTCTTCATTTAATTTTGTTATTTATTTTCATGTAATTTTTTCATGAATTTATCTAACTCGTGTGGTGGTTTATTTTGTTAGCCCAAGAAAAGCGATTGGAGAATTTCGATCGTCAAGTTGAGCAATTTAAGAAGGTGGCCGCTGATAGAAATATTTCATGTGATAACTGGGTGGATCAACATAAGATTCGTTGGAGTTTAGCACATGATAACTACAATGGTGGGCGTCGTTGGTCTATCCTGACATCCAACATGGCAGAAAGCATCAATGGTGTTTTCAAAGGTATTCGTGCACTTCCTATAGCTTCTCTTGTGCAACATACCTATTGGCGATTGGTGGAGAAATTCGATAAGTACAGGTTGGAGACAGGAGCATAAATTAGAAGTGGCGGTTCACAGTACTCCACCAAGTGCGAAGAGCTAATGAAGCCGTGGTCACAAAAGGCAATTGGACATTCTGTGACAGCTCTTGATCGACGTCAAGGCATCTATGTAGTTCAGACTCCTCCCAACAATTTCAACATGACAGGGTCAAACACATTCACAGTGCACTTTGACGATCAAAACCTGGCGGGATTTTGCACCTGTGGTAAATTTCAAGGAAATAAAATTCCTTGCTCTCATGCCATTGCAGCTTGCAACCGAATGGGGGCTAATGCGTATAGGTTTGTCAACGATGTCTACAAGCTGGAAACAGTGATGGCTTGTTATGGGACAAGTTTCGCACCTCTTGGTGAACCTAAGGGTTGGAAGAAGTATAATGGTCATATTCTCCATCCTAATGTGCACATGATTAGGAAGCCGGGGAGGCCACGAGTTACAAGGATTCATAACGAGATGGACTGGCCAAGGGAGGGTGCATCACACCAAGTGTGTAGCAACTGTAACCAAGCGGGACATAATGCATCAACTTGCGGTGGCCAAGCTAGTGGGAGTCGGAGCAACTGAGGAGGGAGTGGTGGCCAACAAAGTGCGAGAGGTGGTAGAAGAGGAAGTAGAGGTAATAGACGTGGCTGAGAGGTGGTAGAAGTTGTTGTATTTCTTTTGATTTACCATGTAGAAGTTGTTGTTTGGTATGTAGTTGTTATGGTTTTTATCGTTAATAATAATAATAATAACAATCCAAAAATAATAGTCTCAAGGAAGTACATAATAATAACAATCCAAAAATAATAGTCTCAAGGAAGTACATAATAATAACAATCCAAAAATAATAGTCTCACTGACAACCACCACGACGACCACCATGATCCACCACTAGATGGCCGCCAGTACCACACCTCGCAGGCACCTTGTTACGTGGAGGTCTACCATCATACTCCCGGGGCTGATCTCCCTCGACACCACCATCCTGATCCTGTGTACCGAACATATCATCCCGCTGAGACTGAATATGCTCCTCATGTACACCGCCACCATGCTGCTGAGACTGAAGATGCTGCTCATAATTCCACATTGTCTCTTGAAACGTCTCATCACCCTCTAGGTTGTCCCACAGGTCGGGAGACAAGGCTGCTCTAGTATCACCACCTGAGGCCATGTATGGAAGCTATCCTCTGGCTGATAGAAGCTCGAAGACGGACCTGACTGAAACTGCTGCCTCGCGGCAGCTGGAAGCTCGAGGAAGGATCTGACTGAAACTGCGACCGAGGCGGATTAAACTGGAAGCTCCTCGAGGTAGGCCAGACGGGCTGTGCTCGCTGTCGATCTGAAACCCGGAACGGGTTATGTACATCAAGATGCTCACGTCGCTGTCTACGTGGCCTATGCTCTTGTCTGAACTGTGGCTCTGGGACGACCCAGCCCGGTGTCGGATCAGTACGCTCTAGCCAGGCAGTCATGACGGGCTGATCATAATGGGGTTGTACAGGTACTGTGAGATCAGGGTATCTGCGCTGCTCAAAACCTAGAGTAGCAATCCCGGATGCCATCATGTTGGCCAAGTCCTCACACTGGTCGGGGGTCAGCCCTCCAGCCCGTACACCGTCACACAAACTCACCTCAGCATGCTCGAAAGTGTCGTACTAAAAAACACCCAAAAAATGTCAGATATTTCACACAGTTAACAAGAAATTAAGCAAACAAATCAAATAACTAACCAATGCCTCCGCTGCAGCTCCTCTCCGTGTGCCGGAACGTCTGGTGACATCTCTATACCACTCCATATGCTCCGAGTGGTAGGCTAACTCCTCATCAGTGTATGGAGTCGTCGCTACAAACTCGTGTCGACGGTTCCAGAAAGTAAGTGACTCTCTGGAGGCGTGTACCAACTGCTGCCCACGCGATGGCCCACGAGTAGCCTGACGAAGAAAAAACCTAACCTCAGCCTCAAGATGTGGCGGATGAGGCTCACGCTGCCTCATGCCAAACTGCCGGAGCACGCGGTCTGGATGATGTCACATCACCGATGAAAAGCAGATAAGTGGCACTACTACTCGAAATGTCTCAGACTGTATCACACTACCTCTGAGATGAAGTGCTCTCTCAAGGTAAGGTTGCCACTACATAAAAAAATTAACATTTTTATCCCTAAATCTAAAGAAATAAAACAAATGAAAACTATTATATAAAATGGAATGTTATATACTAACCACCACGGTGTCCATCGCGTCAAACCATAGCTTGTACTGGAATAGCTGGTCACCATACTGACGACTGTTGGTCGAAAGCCATCGAAGACCACGTGGGGATGCATCCTCGGAAATCTATGCCCTCGTCTCCGAATGTCGAGGTGCCAGATGTGGGAATCGCTCCCACGCCCAGAACTGCAGTAAGGCGACCCATCCACCAAGGTCACCGCCTAGAGAAGTGCCGGAATGCGTAATGTGCAAAGTTGACCTACCCATCTCACGGTACAGGTAGGATAAAACAGCAGCTCCCCAGGCATACCGCCCAGCTCTCTGCCAATCCTCAATCAGAAGTGGGTACTGTAGGTGCACCGTAGCTCCAGACCGATCCGGGAAAAGTACACCTCCCATCAGAGATAGAGTATAAGCTCGTGCAAACTGCTCTATAACCTCCTGTGATGCATTTTCCGGCAGATGACTGAATTCATCCCTCAGCCAAACAATCCTAACGACACCGACACCTCCTGAAAGATCAGCCGGAACCCGTCCTAACAGTCTCAAACAGATCGCCGACCACACCTCATCCAGTATATCAACTACGACGGCATCACCGTCGATCGCCAGACCGGACAGTGTAACAACGTCCTCTAACGTGATCGTGATCTCACCATACGGTAGATGGAAGGTCGACGTCTCGGGTCGCCACCACTCTACGAGGGCAGTAATCAAACTCGCATTGGGGTTCATAGGGACTAGGGGCACGACACTTAACAGCCTGCCGCTTCGAGATATGGCCAATAAAGCTCATGGTACGTCACTAAAATGGTCGTACCTCGAACATGGTAAGATCGATCACCAGCCGCACAAAACTTATATTAATTCATTTTCATTGGTAATAATTCTAATTTCACCTAATAAATTCTAATCTATCTAATCTAATATCAAATTATACTAATTTCAAAAAATTTGATACGTAATCCTATTCTAATTTCAGTATAGTTCAGTTCACCAACTAAAATAATCTAATTGGCTAATTAACTTTACATGAATAATTATCAAATACCTCGTTTGTCCAAACAGAGTCGATACGATGTTGGCCATGTCCGCAAAGAAGTGCCGGATCGACCGGACCTGGATCAATTGTCGTCGGCGGTAATCTCATCGAATAAGGATCCATAAGCCTAAGAACTGCAAAAACAAAGCAACAAAACATTAAAAAAACACTAAACATTAAAAAAAATCCAAGCCGCCAGCGAGATTCCGGCCGCCGCCGGCGAGAGTCTCACCGCGCAAACGGCCGCCGACTCCACCACGACCTTGCTGGCCTCTCCCCCTGCCTTTGCCGGCGACTGGTTCTTCGTCGGAGGATATCTCTGTCTGGCGGGGGCTCTTCTGTCAGCGGCGGCGACGCTTCACTCGGCAGCAGCGGCGCCTTGGTCCTGGGTAGCAGCGCTTGAGTCCACGGCGGGCCTGAGACTGGTGGCGGCGTGTGTGAGGATGCGGCGCTGCTCTGGTTCCGGGGGGGGGGGGGGGGGGGGAGGAGGGAAGAAGAAGAAGAGATAAGAGGGGCCCTAGGGTTCGTCGATTTAAAAAAAAAAGAGGGTGAGGCGGGGGCGCTGGAGACTTGGGCGCCAGCGCCCAGAACTGGGTAAAAAAAAAAGAGGGTGAGGCGGGGGCGTTTGAGACTTGGGCGCCAGCGCCCAGAACTGGGTAAAATATTTAGAAACCGCGGCCCCGCCTTAGTCTCTGGTGGTCCCGCCCCAAACTTTTCTACAAAACACAATATTTGTGTCAATTCTTTTTAATCCGCAATATTTGTGGCAAATTAAAAAAAACACAATATTTGTGTTATTAACCCTGATCATCTGGGAGAGAATTATCAAAACATATAGCATTTACAAGTCTATACTATAGTAATAACTTCAATGTCATTTACAAGTCTATACTATAGTAATAACTTCAATGTCGGGATGGGATTAGGTGCTAACCCTTATAGGAGTTAGCACCGTGATAACTAGCAAAAAACGCTACTAAAAATAACGAAATCACTACGGATTATTATAAAATCAATACAACATCTAAGCTAAATCACTACTAATTCAAACTAGTAGTAGTTTTTCCCTTGGTTAGGACGGTACTAACTATTGTACAATTAGCACCGTAACCGCTCCCTTCAATGTCGTAACCATCATATTAACTTGTATATCACAAGAAGTTATATATATATATATATATTTAATTGAATCTTTTTTTGGTTTCTTCGTGTGTTACTTATATAATCATATTTGGGTATGAGATCCTTCAATGCAACTCGTTTTTAAGTAATGTCACATAACCACAATTCTAGTTAGTTAATGATAATGGATAAACACCTAAAATATTGGTGACAATTTTGTATTCAATCCATCCACTAAAATATCCAATTAATCAAAATCCATTTAAATCCAAATCCAAATAAATTGGTGGGTTGATTGATATTTGGTACATTACAATTAAATAAAATTTATTTTTAATGTATAATATAATTGGAAAATTATAATTTTTACCTAAATATTTTTACAATTCAATTTCCACCTATCCATTCGATTCATGAATCCATTAATAGAATACACCAATTCATGAATCTAAGCATCTACCTAGAAGTGATCCGATCTTCCAAAAATAATCAACAAGTATTTTGAGAAGTCATGTGTTATGTTATGCCCACTGTGTTCGGTGGTGGAAGGGTGTGAGTGCCGGAGTGGGTAGAGTTGTCTTGTCTCCCTCCTTCACATGGGGGCCTTTTGGGATGTTGGAAACTGGAATGGCAATGGAGAGGAAAAATAGAGTTTCTCGTGAGAACTGAACCGATCAACAGCTCGTTGAATAGAATCGTCAAATCAGTTACGATAGTGGTCTGGTTCATTATTTGAATAGTTATTGATAGAACAAATGTTTTTTCATGGTTTAATATAAAATCACATAAACCTCAAGGTTTAATTGGTCCACTAGTTCACTAATTCAACATAAATAAATAAAAAATACTTTAACTCAAACTAAGACATCAAACAATAATTATTCATTTATATATGCTTCCTCTTCTCATTTTCCAACCTTGTTGTCGACTACTCGACTGGCACCGTAAATATTAATTTGAATTAAAAAAAATTTGATTTCTTTTGTGAGACAGTTTGAATGATTTGTTAGATGTTTTGGTGCTGATATTAATTTGAAATTGTTTATGGTTAATGATAATTTCATTCTTAAATTAGTGTAATATACAAGTTTTTTATGTTATATATCATGAACGGTTCTATCAACGGTTCATCAACGATTTTGTAACGGTTAATCACTAAACCCTAAACTAATAACTTTTCTGGTTCAGCCTTCGGTTCTAAAAATAGAGGTTTCTGTCTTTTTTTATATTAATTTCTACAGTGTACTCTTATTAATAGAATTTTCCCGCTGTAATTTGTTGTATATAGAATTTTCCCGCTGTAATTTAAATTTAATGGACCATCGAATCGATGTTTTGTTTTGGACGCGACGAACAAGACGTGCATGTGATTCAGAGTTTTATCATTCAGCGGGCCGGCCCACTCCCACTTTTCACTTTCGACGGTTTACTTTGTCTCCTTCGGGCCCAAATTTTCTTTCCCCGCCTTTCATAATTTTTTCACTCGTGAAGACTTTTCTGTAATTAATGAAAGACTAGCTATAGGGCTCTATCATTGTTTCAAGTGGGATTCGATGTGGTTGATAAATATTCATATGGTGTGAGAGTGAGTGAGACCAATAGAGTGAGTGAGCTAGATAATAGAAAAATGTAATTATCGCATGTTAGTCGATTATCTGAGAATTTCTTACCGATTAAATTTTGGTTTAATTCACCTGCATAGCCATAACTTTCACGATTTTGATAAATATAGCTACTTTTTGAATAATACACAGATGTAGCCATACTTTTCAAACATTGTTGACTAATCTAGCCATTTCATTTAAAACATTTGACGGAGTTAACGTCTTTGTCAGTTAAGTGGACGTTTTGTTGATCTGTCCTCCAAATGGATGACACGTCATCGCCAACCGAATAAACTTAGCCACGTGGACGCCACATCAGATAAAAAAATTAAAATTATTTAACTCTCTCTCTCCTTCATCGTTGTCGTTTTCATTACCTTCCTCACTTATTTTCTAGGGTTCGTAGATCAGACACTCATTTTCAATCCCTTCTTTCCATTTTCAATCCCTTCTTCCATCGAGACCTCCTCTCCACCCCAACTCCTCACTGCCATCGACGCCTCCTTCTCAGCATACCCATATCGCCTCCCCTTCGCCTCCCCTGCTAATGTCCCCTATTACTCTCCCGATTCCATTTTCGCCTAAATACACCAGTATCATAGCCGTTCCCTTCATCTCCGTTTTCCCAGCAGTTGAATCCATGTCGAATAGGTGTGTAAAGAAGGTGGATTTCAATGTTGCCGATTTCGGATCAGCAAGCACCAATAGTAGGATTGTCGTTCGATGATAGCACAACGTCCCATGTGTTCTTAAAACTTTGGGTACTTATACAAACCCAGGGCGACAATTCTACTGTTGTCCTTATTGGAAGGTAAGCAATACATTCTTTGTGTGACCCAATTGGTTTTTACCTACAGTTTTGACAGTCATGCTTATTATTTTGCTGTAGGATAGGGGAAAAAATTTGTCAATTTTTTCGGTGGGTGGAATCAAACAATGATGAAACTGGCTCATGGACTAATGAAATGGGTTCTATTCAGAATCTGGAAGAGAGTCTGCTGCTAGCAGAAAGGAAGGCAGAGAAGATGAAGAAGGAAAAAGAATTGTTGGCCGAAGAACTAAGCAGATTGATGCTTGCTCATGAGGTTATGGCAATGCATGTTAGGAGATTGGACGATGATGTCCGTATCATACGATATCTGTTGATTGGTTCTGTATTGATGAATGCTATTTTGGTTATTGTTCTTTGGAGGCCAGAATCTGGTCTGTAATTGTTGGCATTCTGTGGAAGCTTAGGCAATTTGTAGGTGTTTCTGTTTGAGTAAGAAACTTAGCAAATGTATGCAAGCTTTAAATATAATGATCTTTACTTATTAATGTAACATGTGGTCTCTCTATTTCCTTAAAGCAACATAGTCTTGGTTTTTTTGAGACACATATATTAAGCAAGTGCAAAAGGGTGCACATCAAAATGGTGTTCATTAGAGTACATTATACACCTGCAACTAACAAGTTGTCTGCATCCATAAAAGTGTGTTCATTTGCATCCCTAACTTCAGTACTCGCTACCTAATCTGCTAAGAACTGCTTCATGAGTCATGTAATCGTCATTACATAGCAACGTTCACATAAGTGTCTACTATCGACATTACACAAAAGCTTACTCAAGCATCATATTCTTCCTAAATCTAAGGCTGACTAGGTGGTGGCTGACTTCCATGCAGGTCCACGAACTGGCTTGCCAGCACTCTTTGACCGCACCTTTCTCCTCCTCCTCGTCTCGTCATATGCTCGTAAGTTGTCACGTGCTTCGTGATATTCATCATCCGAAGTATCAGCATAATCCGAATCATAAACATGGTACACCTCCTTTGCAACAGAAGCTGCTACCCCATCTTCTACTAACAGGAAATCATCTTCTTCCCCTTCCTGGTTTGTGACATTCTCACGATTCCCTTCCTCCCACGAATCTGCCATCTCTCTGCATAAATTCATTGTTTATTCCATTAACTACTAATTAATGATTAATCGCTAATAAAAAAGTCAAACACACACATCCAAGAAGCGATTAAAGAAATTGGGGAACTCCACATACAGCCAAAAGAAGCACGAGAAGTGGAAGCTTTTATAGTAAATGACGATTATAACCAGAGGTTCCAGGTGTTTACCGTATTTTCAGGGGCACGTGAAAAAAAACTTCTTCTGGTCCCTCGAAGAAGTTGGGATGTCGCTTTCCACATTCGAACCTATAAATACACAATACCCACTTCCCGTTAACAAATCATTCATTCATTCGAACCGTGCAAAGAAGAAAACCAGGGCAGAAAACCAGAGCAGTTCATAAGGACTCACCAGTCGCACGATTTAGGGTTTCTTAGCAACGCGAAATTTAGGGTTTCCTCCGCCGATGTTTCTTAGCCGCCGTCAGCTGAACCGCCGAAGTCCGTACCGTCGTCGAAGGAGCGACCGTCCGAAGCTACTCGTCGGTCGAATGCATGGCTCCCCTTTATCGACGATCACGAACGGTTGGGGCAAGTCGAGAGAAAAAGGAGGTGAGGTTGTTGGGAACAGATGAACGAAAAAGGGGAAAGTGATCTGAATCCCCTTTTTGGCTTCTTCTTTGTCGTTCTACCTTTTTATTAAAAAAAATTATTTCCCACGTGACAAAGATGCAAAAAGAAACAACGCCACATCAGCCGCGGCCGTTAGTCCAGTCAGCAAGTTAAATGAACCGTCAAAGAATTGGACGGAAATAGCTACATCTCTGTATTATTTAAAAAGTGGCTATATTTATCAAAACCGTGAAAGTTATGACTATGCGGGTGAATTAAACCTTAAATTTTCAATGCAAACCGCCTTAACAGTGTTATTAGATCTTTACACAGAGCTATAGGGCATGGCTGTTACTTCCTTGGATACCTAGGTTAGGTATCATGCATCTTGATTTAACTCTTGTCATATACTGGACAAAAGAAGAGTGGTGGTTGTGTCGCCTATATAATACAACGTATATGACCGAGAGATAGGACATTTTAAATCCAACTTATGGGCATTTTTAATTGCTATTATCTCTGTGATTATTGTATTGCCAAAAATCATGTATTCTAATTTATCATTTGTCAATTTCTTTGACAGTTATAATGTTTGTAGAGACGACGACTGTCGGTGAAATTCAAATGCATAAACAAACAAAGGAGATAGAACTGGTAAATTATAACCCGATTTGTTGATTCGATCCGAAATCGTCCAAAAAGTAGAAATTTTTATAACCTGAAATTCGAATGATCCGAACTTGATAACCTATAATTTTTTGGGTCGGGTTGGGTCGGTTAGCGGGTGTACCCGTTAGACCCATTTTATTTTATATATCACTCTCAAAATGATCAAATCACTCATAAATTGGTGGGATGTTAAAAAAAACACAAGGATTTAAATGACATGTTTGGAGTTTAAGGATAATCAAATATCATGTGTTTCTTGTAGTATTATTACTCTTGTGATTGTTTTTTGACGATTTGCGCAATTTGTATTTTATTTCATTAGCACGTGAAGATTTTGAGAATAAGTTAATTGACATGTGTTAGGTAAACTATTATCATACATATGTGAAAATTTGTGTTCTTTGAGAAAATATGAAACATGTTTGATATTGTTTCTGAGAACGCTCATAACCTGAAACTACCTATAACCCTGTCCAAAACCGAATGGGCTGGGTTGATATTTAATCCGAAATAAGTCAACTAAACATGACCTGACCCGTAACCAGAGTCCCCAACCCCATCCGATTGCCAAGTCTAAAAGGAGGAAAACTGTGTGTGAAACTAAACACGTGGCACGTGAGACATTATTTTGTTGTTTCGTATGGTGGGTTCATTTTTTCATCACTATACAAAACCGCGGTTTAACTGCCATGATTAGCAGCGGATTAGGTGGTGCTGCTGCCCTACACATATTTGCCAATGAGTGATTGAATAATAACGAAAAACGAATATTTGGTCCCTAGTAAAGTCATGACTCATGGTATAACCAATACACATATTTGCCCTACACATATTTGCCAATGGGATATTTGGTCCCTAGTAAAGTCATGGTCTAACCAATACACCAACACACTACCTATCAGGTATGACTAATTTATGAAAACTAACGAAAAACGAATGTCCTAAATTGGATAGGTAGCCTGCAATTACATTCGCCTCCCTATAAACATGCTTACCAATTTCTTGCGAGCCACCCTCGTATTTTATACTTTAGTTCTAAATTATCTTATTTTAAAATAAAAATTAATTTTTGGAACAAAAGTTTGCACCGGTCATATGCTTTTGTCATCTATTAGTATGAAAATTGTACGATTTCGAACAATTAGAGACTGCAGCACAACATAACAAACTAATAATTCGCATTGTCTAAATAAGTTGTTAATACAAAATATTTTCTCAATACAAGCATTTTCTCGAGGGACAGGAATTGAATCTGGGGAAGCATGTTCAGACTTGAGATTCTCCAAAATGTGAGATATGTGTGGTTAATTATTGAACTAATCATGGGGAGAGTTCATGGCAAATAGTAAAAAACAATAATGAATGTGCTGGATGACAGAGAGAGGTAGGGGAAGCACATGATGAATCTAGAGGTCCACACGGTTTGTTCCATTTTTTCCATTGTTCAAAACGACTCAACAACTTGCACCTCATCGTAATTAACCAGAAAAGAAAATATTAAAAAGGGCAGCAAGATGGTCAAAGGATATGGGGATGTAACAAAGGTCAAACCTAGGGTGCCTGATAATTGAAGAGGCTTAGGCGGGGCATTTATTCGGTTTTGTGGGAGATGGCTTTTAGCTTGGTTTTTTACTAGGCGGCAAATAAGGTTGTTTTTCCCTAAAATATTGTGTTTTTAAAAAATATTATCCAAAATAGGTAAATACCACATTTGGTCACTGGAATTACTAAATCATGTTATGTGACATGTATCAGTAATTCGAGTGACATTAATAAAAAGAAAAGGTAATTCTAATAACCAGAGTTGGACGGAAACTAACGGGAGAGTGACTAAATGTGACATGTTTCAGTAATTCGAGTGACCAAAATTGATATTAATTTTTTCTAGTGACTAAACATGATATGATTTAGTAATCTCGGTGACCAAATGTGGCATTTACCCTATCCAAAATTCAGCATTTGTGAAAACATTTCCAAATCTGCTGTCTATAGAAGCAAATTGGGACGTGCACGCCCCAATTCGTTAAAAAACAACCAATAACCCCAGCTGAAGCGCGCACACTCCAATTCGATTGAAAATAGCATTAAAAATCAATGATGCGTGAATAAGCCGAATTGAGGCTCGGGTTTTCAGAATCAACTGGTTCATGACAAGATAATTTGAAGCCACAACATTACAACTTACAAATAACAATGTTGGAACTAGTAATTATCTACCCATGGTGATGCTCAATTCACAAGGAAGAATACGAGGTTGGTGTAGAGGCTCACTTGTATTAGTACATATGCATAGATCTAAATTGCGTATTTGATGGAATGGACAAAACTCACGTTATGTAATAATGTTAATTGAGGAAATAGAGTCACTCACGGTTGTTGAATATATATTATTATGTAAATATTTATATTTGGATGACCAATGGCCTACTACATTAGATGCTCACTTGTGCGTTACATGTAACTACCATTCCTATATTATTATCTCTAATTAATATGCATTGATGTAAGGATGTAATGGTTATCAAAGGGTGCCTATAAATAGAGCACACTATTGTATCACAAATGGTGAATGAATAAGAAGAACTATTCCCCTCACTTCTCTTGTGTCTTTCCTCCTCCAATCTTCTCTTGTAGTTGCTTACATTTCCATTAGTTTTATAACACGTTATCAGCACGAGACTCTTCCTTTTGAAAAGGTTAAATCCATAATTGTTCTGCTCAAGGTATGTCGATTCTCCCAAATTGTTTCTTTATTGTCCTATTTCAATTTACATAATTTCCTTTATTAATCAACACATGAAATCTTTGTTGAGAATGCAAAGGTATAATTTCCTTCTTAATATATATTTTTTTATTTTGAAATTCGAGTTTATTTATATATTTGTAAAAATATCAAATTGATATATCATGGGTCACATAAGTCGTTTGTCTTGATAGTAATCTATATTTATTTATTGAATTTTGACTTTAATTTGTGTATATTTTTATGATAGTATGTCGAACCTTTCAAAGCTTGAGTTTGTGGCTCTTGATGTCACTGGAAAGAATTACCTATCATGGGTGCTAGATGCTGAAATTCATTTAGCTGCCAACGGTCTTGGAGACACGATTAAAGAGGGCAATGAAGCATCAGATCAAGACAAAGCTAAAGCAATGATCTTTCTTCGACATCACCTCCACGAGGGATTGAAGAATGAGTACCTTACGGTCAAAGATCCACTTATTTTGTGGACTAATTTGAAGGAGCGGTATGACCACCAAAAAACTGTGATTCTTCCTAAGGCTCGTTATGATTGGATGCATTTGAGGTTACAAGATTTTAAATCTGTGAGTGATTATAATTCGGAGCTATTCCAAATAACCTCACAACTACTGTTATGTGGAGAAAATATTACTGATGAAGATATGTTGGAAAAAACATTCTCCACTTTTCATGCATCCAATGTGCTCCTGCAGCAGCAATACCGTGAGAAAGGTTTCAAGAAATATTCTGAGCTGATTTCTTGTCTCCTTGTTGCTGAACAAAATAATGAGCTCCTAATGAAAAATCACCAATCTCGTCCTACTGGTGCCGCCCCATTCCCAGAAGCGAATGCGGCAACGTTCACCCAATATCCTTATGGGCAAATACATGGACGTGGACATGGACGAGGACGTGGGCGTGGTCATGCTCATGCTCGAGGCCGTGGCCGAGATCTTGGCCGTGGTAATGGTCGTGGTGAAAGTTCCAAAAGCTCATTTTTCCCCAAAAGTGGAAAAAATGATGGTAGAAGAAGCAAGGAACAAAGTGTTCATGGTAACAAACACGTCGAAAATGTGGGTTACCGTTGTGGTGGAAAAGGTCATTGGTCTCGTACCTGTCGTACGCCAAAACACTTGGTTAACCTCTACCAAGAATCATTGAAAGGGAAGAAGATAGAAACCAATTGTATTTTTGAGGAAGATGATTCAGGAAAAGACTATAATGATGCTACTCATCTAGATGTGTCAGACTTCTTTGCCCACCCTGAAGGAAAAATAGATCACCTGATTGGTGATGGGAATGTTCGCAAGTGAAAAACTTAGCATTTCCATTTGAAATTTCTATTTCGTTGTCGCGTTGTTCACAAGTGAAAAGTGTAGGTTTCCCATTTGAAATTTCACTTTCTTTGTCGTTTTCCTTGAGTGTGTTTTTCCTATTAATGTGTCAGTTTGATATAATTTCTCTTTATAATCCTTATGTGGTTAAATTTCATCTATTATAATCATGTCATTATTTTTATATTTATTTGGAGATATTTTCTTATATTGATTTACTTTCTATCTTTTGTGAAGAATGAATATTCCCATGCTTGGCACCAAGATAAAAAACCATGATGTGTGTCTTATTGATAGTGCATCGACACATACAATCTTGAAGGATAAGAAATATTTTTCTCATCTTGAAATGCGAGAAGCAAATGTTAGTACTATATCTGGAAGTACAAATCTAATTGAAGGCTCCGGAAGAGCTAGTGTATTGTTACTAGAAGGAACCAAGTTGTATATCAATGAAGCCTTATACTCTTCAAAGTCTCAAAGAAATTTATTGAGTTACAAAGATATTCGCCGAAATGGATATCATATTGAGACAAAAGAAGAAGAGAATAAAGAGTATATTATGATAACAAATATGGTCTCCGATAAAAAACACATATTGGAGAAATTGCCTGCTATTTCTTCTAGGTTGTACTACACGTTTATTAGTACAATTGAAACACATGCAGTGGTAAACCAGAAGTTTACTAATCTTGATAATTTTATAGTTTGGCATGACCGGTTAGACCATCCCGGATTGATTATGATGCGAAAAATCATTGCCAATACATGTGGACATCCATTGAAAGGTCACAAAATTTATCAGTTTAAAGATGTACCATGTGTTGCATGTTCTCGTGGCAAGTTGATCACCTATGAAAGTAAGGAGTGAATCTCTCACATTTTTAGAACGTATACAAGGTGATATATGCGGGCCAATTCACCCACCATGTGGACCATTTAGATATTTTATGGTTTTAGTTGATGCATCAACTAGATGGTCACATGTGTGCTTACTATCAACTCGCAACCTGGCGTTTGCTAGATTACTTGCCCAATTGATACGACTACGAGCACATTTTCATGATTTTCCAATCAAGAAAATACGTCTAGATAATGCTGGTGAATTTACTTCACAAACTTTCAATGACTATTGTATGTCCACTGGGATTGATGTTGAACATCCTGTAGCACATGTTCATACACAAAATGGCCTTGCAGAATCATTTATTAAGCGTTTGCAGCTTATTGCAAGGCCATTGCTTATGAAAACAAGCTTGCCAATTTCTTGTTGGGGACATGCTATATTGCATGCGGCAACATTAATTCGCATAAGGCCAACAAGTTATCATGAAATTTCCCCCTTGCAAATGATTTTTGGTCAGGAACCTAATATTTCCCATCTAAAAATATTTGGGTGTGTCGTCTACATCCCTATTGATCCACCACAGCGTGTTAAGATGGGTCCTCAAAGGAGGTTGGGAATTTATGTTGGATATGAGTCCCCGTCAATCATAAAATACTTAGAACCCTTGACGGGAGATTTATTCACTGCTCGTTTTGCTGATTGTCATTTTGACGAATAAGTTTTTCCAACATTAAGGGGTGAGAACAAACAGCTGGGAAAAGATATTTGTTTGAATGAATTATCATTATCTCACCTTGATCCTCGTACTAGACAATGTGAACTGGAAGTTCAAAAGATAATTCATTTACAAGGTTTAGCAAACCAACTGCCAGATTCGTTTACTGACCAGAAAAGAGTGACAAAGTCACACATACCAGCTGTAAATGCTCCAGTGAAAGTTGATGTCCCTGTTGGACAATCTGAAATTGCTAATGAATCTAAACCACGAATGAAGCGTGGTAGACCAGTAGGTTCCAAGGATAAAAATCCTCGAAAAAGAAAAGGAGCTATGAATCAAGTTGATCAAATCGAGGATATGAAAGCTCAAGAAGAGTCTCCAAGCATAACTAAGATTGTAGTTCCCGAAGAACATCAAGTACCTGAAAGTTTTGATAATGAAGAGATCTCAATCAATTATGTCTTGGATGGAAAATGTTAAGTAAAATAATCGTCGACGATGTTTTTGCTTACGCTGCAGCGTTGAGTGTGATGAATGAAAATGAGGATCATGAACCAAGATCTATTGATGAATGCAAATCAAGAGATGATTGGCCAAAGTGGAAAGAGGCCATTGAGGCGGAATTAAACTCGCTTTCAAAGCGAAAGGTTTTTGGACCGGTAGTCCTTACACCAGAAAACGTAAAGCCAGTGGGATACAAATGGGTTTTTGTGCGAAAAAGAAATGAAAAGGGTGAAGTCGTGAGATATAAAGCACGTCTTGTCGCACAAGATTCTCACAGAGACCTGGCATTGATTATGAGGAGACATACTCCCCTGTGGTGGATGCAACTACGTTTCGATACTTGATTAGTCTAGCAGTTCGAGAAGGACTAGATCTGCGTCTAATGGATGTTGTGACAGCCTATTTGTATGGATCACTTGAGAATGATATATATATGAAACTCCCTGAAGGATTCACTTTGCCAGAAGCGAACAAAACACATTCTCGAGAAAATTTTTCTATCAAATTGAACAAATCCTTGTATGGATTGAAACAATCTGGACGAATGTGGTACAATCGTCTTAGTGAATATTTGATGAAAGAAGGATACACGAATGACCCTATTTGTCCATGTGTTTTTCTAAAGAGATCGGGTAGTGAGTTTGTTATAATATCAGTTTATGTTGATGACATAAACATCATTGGAACTCCTGAAGAGCTTCCAAAAGCAGTTGATTGCTTGAAGAAAGAGTTTGAAATGAAAGATTTAGGAAGAACAAAGTTTTGTCTTGGATTACAGATTGAACATTTGAAGGATGGTATTTTTGTGCATCAAGAAGGATATGTTGAAAAGGTGCTTAAGCGATTTTATATGGACAAATCACACCCGTTGAGTAATCCAATGGTTGTAAGATCACTTGATGTGAAAAGAGATCCATTTAGACCTCAAGAAAGTGATGAAGATCTGCTTGGCCATGAAGTGCCATATCTTAGTGCGATAGGAGCATTAATGTATCTAGCCAGTCATACACGACCCGATATATCGTTTGCTGTGAATATATTGGCAAGATATAGCTCTTCTCCCACTAAAAGACATTGGAATGGAGTTAAACATCTACTTCGTTACCTTCGTGGAACGACAGATAAGGGCTTGTTCTATTCGAGTGCATCGAAGATGGATTTAGTGGGATATGCAGATGCAGGATATCTCTCAGATCCCCACAATGGTAGATCTCAGACAGGATATTTGTTCACTTGTGGTGGTACAGCCATTTCGTGGGGATCCACAAAACAAACTATAACAGCCACATCATCCAATCATGCTGAAATCCTAGCAATTCACGAGGCAAGTCGTGAATGTGTTTGGTTAAGATCTATAATTCGACACATCAGAGAATCGTGTGGACTATCTCTAGGAAAAATGATCCCGACGATCATGTATGAAGATAATGCAGCATGCATTGCTCAATTAAAGGAAGGATATATTAAAGGAGATAGAACAAAACATATTCCACCCAAGTTCTTTTTCACTCATGATCTTCAAAAGAGTGGTGAAATAATTGTTCAAAAAGTTCGTTCAAGTGAGAATCTAGCAGATTTATTCACCAAGTCACTCCCGACGACAATCTTTGTAAAGCTTGTTCATGAAATTGGAGTTCGACGACTCAAAGACCTGAGCTGATGTGGTCATGAGGGGGAGCATATACGCGCTGCACTCTTTTTCCCTTAACCATGGTTTTTTCCCATTGGGTTTTCCTGGTAAGGTTTTTAATGAGGCAGCATGAGATAGCGTAATAATGCAATCTAGTGGTCATCCAAGGGAGAGTATTATGTAAATATTTATATTTGGATGACCAATGGCCTACCACATTAGATGCTCACTTGGGAGTTACATGCAAATCCCATTCCTATATTATTATCTCTAATTCATATGCATTGATGTAAGGATGTAATGGTTATCAAAGGGTGCCTATAAATAGAGCACACTATTGTATCACAAATGGTGAATGAATAAGAAGAACTATTCCCCTCACTTCTCTTGTGTCTTTCCTCCTCCAATCTTCTCTTGTAGTTGCTTACATTTCCATTAGTTTTATAACAATCGACACTTTATAAACTAGAGTCCAATTTATTTGGATAAATGTCACATTTGGTCACTGAGATTTCTAAATCGTGTCATGTTTAGTCACTAAAAAATTTAATATCAATTTAGGTCACTCGAATTACTGAAACATGTCACATTTAGTCACTCTCTCGTTAGCCTTCGTCCAACTCCGGTCATTCAAATTACTGAAATGTGTCACATTTAGTTATTCGAATTACTGAAACAGGTCACATTTAGTAACTCTCCCGTTATTTTCCGTCAAACTCCATTAATGGAGTTGGCCGAAAGCTAATGGGAGAGTGACTAAATGTGACATGTTTCGGTAATTCGAGTGACCTAAATTGATATTAAATTTTTCTAATGACTAAACAAGACACGGTTTAGTAATCTCAGTGACCAAATGTGGTATTTATCCCAAATAATTGAGGTTAAGTATCCGCACGAAATTCATCTACAAGTATATTGTTGTTAGCTTATTAGTTACTATGCATGTCTATCATACTTTATTTTAAGAAAAAACACACAATTGGTACCTCAACCCGAATTGTAAATGAATGATTGACAAATAGAACACTCGTATTGAAATACCCCTTCAACCACATATCAAAGACTACCTTGCTCCATAAGAAATTCAAGGCAATTAGTATGCGACATTGCCTCTTCCATTCCAAAAATAGGGTAATATCTAGTTCAATTATGGTTTAAATAATTCGGACCTAATTACACATATTTTTCCTTCACATTTTCATAGTTTAGCTTGATTTGGAGTGTTCCCTTAGTCTATTTTATACTAGCTTGCACTTGTGTGTGTAGATTGCAGGTTCTAGCAGGTAAATATGACAAAAGGACCGATGTTGGACAAGTTGGGGAGAAATCGGGACAAAAGAGCACAAGGAATTATAGGTGTCAAAACATGACCCGACCCGAGTAACCCGCCCAACCAATCCGATCCGCGATCCGCCCGCAACCCGATTAGACTAAAAGTCAAAGACCGGCAACCCGCCCGACCCGTAACCCGCTTGACCCGTAACCCGCTTGACCCGCAACCCGCTTAACCCGCAACCCGCTTGACCCGCAACCCGCTTGACCCGAACCCGATTGACCTGCAATCCGCTTGACCTGCAACCCGCTTGACCTGCAACCCGCTTGACCCGCAATCCACTTGACCCGTAACCCGACTAACCCGAACCCGATTAACCCAACCCGAACCCGCCCGATTGGCACGAATAATACTACATAATATATTTTTGTGCATAAATATTATATGAAGATAATATATATATAAAGTTTATGTGACTTGCCCTATTATTTTTTCATCTTTCCCACCAAGAACAAAGGTTTACTTTGTGTTGACAAATAAAAACTGTCATTTAATTGAATCACATAATAGTCTCACTGTCTCGGTAGATAAGTAGAAATCCTAGGAGGGTTGTCAACATTTTTTACATTTGGTTGATGTATATAAATAATATATATAGATAACACATACATATGAAAAACATGATTGGCTTAATTAAGCCAATCATATATCAGTACCTAATAATTACAATATTTTTTCTTCCACACATAATATAACTGGTCACATAACATTGTCAAAATATTAACCTAAAATACAAAGATTCATAATAGTACATAAGTCATAACTCATACCCTAGCCCCAATAATAAGAAGATTCATAATAGTACATAAGTCATAACTCATACCCTAGCCCCAATAATAAGAAGATTCATAAAAGTTATGTATAAAATACTTACGGGTATTATACTAACATTCTTCACGTATCATACGTTACAATTTATACTTTATACCAACAATTTCATAACACATAACTATATTTCATGGTTTAAGGTTAGTGTATAGGGTATACGGTAGTGGACTCGTGGTTTAGAGTTTGGAATCATAAGACGTATGTTCTTCTCAATAACCGAATATACAATTGACTCAACTTACATTCTTCACATAACATATGTTATAGCTTATACTAACAATTTCATAACATATAACTATAGTATAGGGTATAGGGTTAGGGTCTAGGGTTATTCATGGTTATGCTTTATGTTGGATATTTTGATTTTTATAGTTTATTAATTAATTTGATTTTAACAATTAGTTTAACTTGTGAATGTACATCTTAAATATATCATATTCAAATGACATTCCGACCAACGAATCGAACAACAAACTAGTTAATCGGTATAAAATTTATCATCTATAATAATAAATATCAAAGAAAGGAAGAACTAGATGTTTATGGAAATTTTTTGAATGCAAAATTCAAAACCCCCAAATATTTGCTCAAAAATTCCCTTGCAAACCCATTTTTTTTTAAAAAAATCCCTCCCATAAACCCCCTTCCCCCAATATTTGATCCAAAATTGAAAATTCCCTCCCACCTCCCCCAATATTTGATCCAAAATTGAAAATTCCTTCCCACTTCCCCCAATATTTGATCCAAAATTGAAATTCCCTCCCATCCCAAAATTGAAAATTCCCTCACACCTCCCCCAATATTTGATCTAAAATTGAAATTCCCTCCCATCCCAAAATTGAAAATTCTCTCCCACCTCCCCCAATATTTTAATCAAGTGAGAAGGGAAATCCCTATCTCCGCCACCAGACTGTCTACAGTGGTTCTGTCCCCTCCGCTCCCTTGCCGTCTTCGTCGCCTCTAGGTTAGAAAGGACTGAAGACAGTCGAATCCCTGCTTCCTTTCTTTTGCTCTCGGCATATAGGTTATGCACGTTTGTATTTTATATGCACAATTTCAATATAGTAATTGTGTGGTTTGTATATTGCAAATATTTAAGTAGTTAGTTAATATCATATATGTTATATTCCTTACAAATTATGTGAGATATACTAATTTAATATTATCGATTGAGGATAAGGCTAACTGTATAGGATATATGTTATTCAGTAAATTATGATTGAAGTCACAATAATTTTACTAAATTTGATAGTTAATCTTTAGGACAATTCGAACAATTTTACAAATAACTCGTTTGGCAATAGTTTACTGAAGTTATTTGGGCAATGAGTTATTTCGAAATAACTCCTTTTATCACTATGCGTTTGCCAAATACCACAAACCAAATACCATATTTGCATGGTTATACTAAACAAGATACTTTAATCCAATTACTACTGAAATAATACTAAAATATCAAATAAACAATTAATGGTGTCTTTTGGTTGCAATTATTGATATCACCATTACTATTAGCTAGTGTACTTTACCAATTATGATTAATTACATAACAAGTTCGCAAGTCATACAAATTGATTTAACATTTTGACTAGTTTTTTTTTTAAAATTAAGTATATATATACGACGTAGAATAAATTGGTTAAAAAGTTGAGAAAAATATTTTAAATTAGTGTAATAAAATGTGTAAGTTGGTAACGAGTAATGAGTAAGTTACTCGATGCGCTGGCCCGAACAACCCGAAACCCGATCCGCCCACAACCCGCCCGACTCAAAACCCGATGAACCCGCAACCCGATTTGTCCGCAACCTGATGAACCCGCAACCTGAATAACCCGCAACCCGTTTGAACCCGAACCCGATGAACCCGAACCCGATGAACCCGCAACCCGACTAACCCACAACCCGTTTGAACCCGAACCCGATTGAACCCAGCCCAAACCCGCCCAATTAACACCTATACAAGGAATGGTAGAAGACAGCTGCTGAAGTGATCGTGAAAATGCACAGATTGGCAAAGATCTCTCGATGTTGCACGACCAGCTCCTTCTCTGGGCACTTTTATTCTCAGCGCATGGTTTCTTACCGAATTTGTCTATATTTGGTATTACCGAATACACGTATTATTTATTGGGATTGAGATTCAATTTCAATTGTTATTCAATATTAGGGATTACGGGATTGGAATCGGTATATATCGAAATAGCGAACAATACCGAAATATAAGCTAGTGTGTATTTTATCCTCTCAACTAGACTCTCTCATTCACTGCTACACTACCCTCAACCACCAATCTATTGTTATTTTCATAACACCAAAAAGCAAACACTAGTATTAGTCTTCTCTTAGCCTCCGATTTATCAAATTAAAGATTACCAATGACAAAAACTTGAGATGTCACCTCTACTCCCTTCTCCTTATCCATATCCTAGCTTTAGCCAAACTCAAAACTCTTTGTTTAGTCTCTTTGTCCTATATTAAATAATCAAATCTAATTTACATATTTAATTATTAATTGTAAAGCTTATTGATTTTGTATTCGATAATACCGATTTGGATACCAAAATATTTAGGGATTGGGATATCGAAATTATTTAGGGATTGAGATTGATTCTAGAGTGTAATTCGGTATTCGGGATTTCAGTATTTGGTATTGAGATATCGATACTGTACTGATTTCCACCTCTAGTCCTCATAAAGCTCCGCCAAGGAGGCCGCGCCCACCCCCTTGGCATAGAGGTTGAACCGCTCGGCCAATACCGCTTTGTAGTGGTCATCTAACTCTTCATAAGTCCCGATTTCATAGTCAAGTGATCGCTCATTCCCTGCAGACCACTCCTCTGGTAGTGATGGCAATGGAGCGGGTCAGGGCGGGGGTACCACAATAATCATGTCCTGCCCCACGCTACTGCGGGTCGGGCGGGTAAAACCCACACGAGTACGCGACGAGACGAGTAGACCCACTCTTACATGTTATTTGAAAATAATACACGCAAATTTTACTTTTTACGATAAAATGAAGGGGAAAACATTTCATGAATGAAAAATAGTAATAATAGAATGAATAATTGAGTCTAACAAGTTGAAGATCGACTCTAACTAGTTAAAAAAAGTCAAAATAAAAGAAATATATATAGATATGGCTTGATAAAAAGTAAAAAGAATTTGATTGGCCACTAATGCCACCGAAAAGAGAATGAGTTTTCAGAGGAAATGGCTTGATAAAAAGTAAAAAGAATTCCGATTAAGAAAAGCCAGTTGAATCATCAGACAACAACAAACACAAGCTGAGTAGAACAACTAATCTGGGCCATGACGGGATTAGGCCCGGATGGAGATATATAAACTGCAGGCCCAGAATGTATGGACTCTCCCTGCAGATCCATCAAATATATGATCTATACATAATATAATACACCGAAGGGAAAAACGAGAGCCTCATTTCAAATTTTCTACAACGAGAGTGAAAGTAGGAAGGACATTTTGGTCTTCACAATTACTTTTTTTTATTCGTTAAAAAGACACGTACTGGAATTCAAACCATGACCCTTTTAAAGTAAAGCAAGGATCATAACCAATCACACTAAGTACATTTGTTGTATCTTTTTAAATTAAAAACATATAATAGTAGGGAGGAAAAAACTCTTCCCTCATTTCAAATTCCCTGCTCCAGGAGCGTTTGTAGGAAGGGTAGACTAGGGAGTGTCAATTTTTTCCTCTTTCATCTGTGGAACGGGCCAACTTACCGTACACATGCAGATTTAAACGGGTCCAGGAGTGTCAATTTTTTTCTTTAAGCTCTTTTATTTCTCCGTGATGATAAAATATATATGAAAAGGCAAAAACAATACTCCTTTTTATTGCTAAAAATAAAAAAATTTAACAATAAACTAATGCATGGTATCTAATGGGCTAACCGCTAACCATAAAATAAAAGAGTTGAATGGGCCTGACCTACACGGGATTTGGCCACCAAGTAAAACAAATGACATCATTGGTTTGTCATTCTAAAACAAGCTATTTTCTCTGGTATAATATATATTATGTTATTATTTTATATCTTAGTGGCTAAAATATAATGTATTTTAAAGTTATTCAATGGTTCAACCTCGACCAACCCAATTAGTCCAATTTTTATCATTTCAAATATATATTATATAATTATTTGATATCATAATGATCAAATTATAGTGTATTTTATAGGGAATCATTTGGTATTTGTTAGTAAAAAACTAAACAGAACGATCTATTTGGTTATTTTAAACATTAAAACGATCCTACACATTTTTAGTTCCTTTTGAAATTTTATGGTTTAATTCCCAAATAAGTGATGTGAAAATGGCGAATTGCAGTCATATCTTTTCTTTCACTATTTTTTATTTTCAAATAGAAAGTTTAAAAGTAAAGAATAATTAGAATTTGGCATGAGGCAGTCAAACATGCTGAATTTCAAGTTTTGGCCCGTTTTGATCAAGTCTAATTTATAATCACATGGTTCCCTGATACCCGATAAAAATCTTAATCCAAACCAGTTTGGCAGGTGAGTCTGTGTTTACCACCATTTTCTAGGGATACGACAACGACGGTTCCTATCCCAAATCGTGTTGTTAGTTCTTGATTTTGTTAGAATTTATCATGGCCTAACAAAAATCAGAAAGCACAATGACGACAAGATGAAAGTTTTATAAAGAAAATTAATCGACCAACGGGCCGAGTAAAAGCTAGCAACGATTGTGAGATGCTCATTTCCCGAAAACCGACGGGATATGCGATTTTTTATTCAATTTTCTGGAATTCGGTTTCTATAAAACTTACTCCACCTCATCATATTACCAGAAACAATATTGTTTCACAAGGTAACATGTACTTGATTTTGGTTCATA